CATCAATATTTACCCATATTTAGCAAAATTAGTCCACATTTTCATTAACTCTGCACTGAATATAGCGTCCACTGGAGTGTAGGCGTCGGGTATTACAAACGGCAATCCATTAACAAATGTAGTTTCAGCGCAATGACAGACACCCATTCCATCCTTATCACAACCCGCTATGTGAGCGGTGTACTTGTTTTGATAAGTGACCTGGTAGAAATATACATTACGATCAGGTTGTCCATTTAAGGCAGCTTGTTTGGCAAACAGATATGTCGGACATTTCATTATTAAATCGCCAAACAATTCATAAAACGCTTTCTTGAGCTCAAGTGAACTGTTTTTGTCGACATTTTGTAGATAATAGTCGTCCACTCGTTTCACATCCAATCCGTGATAAACACTGTCCGATGTATTCGTGGCCTCAATAATGTCATTGAGAGTCACCTTATCTTTGAGCGGAAGCGCATATAAGGACAACTCTGAGCCCTCAGTACTGGCAATGCCTGCTATTATGTCCACATCTATTAAATTTTATAATTATTTATATTATTTAATTTATAGTTTGTAATGCATGTAAAATATTTATTTATTGCATGTTTGACAACCAGCAAATCCAAACCTGCATATTTTTTGTCCGCAAATGCTTTTTGAGCAGAAATGGGTAGGAATTCAGTGCCCAATACTGGATATGTCATCAGATTTAAGTATTTGTTGAACACTTTTGCATCCAATCGTCGCAAACATTGCAACCAATCCTCACTTTCGCTGCAATTCTGCTCTTTTGCTATCCGTTTGCCTAAAGATATTGACTCGTCTTTACTGACGACATCTCTATCCTTGTTATACAAATGGGCGCCGCTTTCCATAATAGCCCTCTTGAATAGGCCTTTGGATAGCGGGGAGAGTATGTGTGCGGACACCGACCAACTCCCGGCGCTCTCACCCAATATCGTGATCTCATCCCTATCTCCGCCAAACTGTTCAGCATTTTCTCTAACCTATTATTATGTCATTAATTCACATATTATTTCATTAAATAAATAGAAATTATAGTTAAAACAAGCGATCAATTGATACCCATTTGAGAGCCAATAACTGATCATAGAGTCCAACATTTCCGGGCGCGTCCTCTCGATTGCCGTATAGGAAGCCCAACTCTCCTAATCTATAAGCTGTTGAAACAAATACCACATCACGGGTGGCCAACACATTAGTAGACAAAAAATTTTCAAATATTGAACCAGATGCTAAACCGCCGCCGTGTATGTGAAACATAATGGGTTTGAGCTGTAATTTGTTTGTGTTATTATTGCCCGCATTTGGTTTCCATATGTTTAATACCAAACAGTCTTCACTTAGGGTTATATTTGGGAAATATGGCGACGGGTTTTGGATACAAGCGTTTTTGGGTTTTGTCGCATCAATTATTTCCTTATATTTTTAAACATTAATAAATAATTTTATTGTAATATTAATTTACATTTATCATATTAATTAAAGTTTACCGGTTTTGTTGTTTTGATGGGTTCAGGTTTGGCGAACCGGAGTCTCCCGACGGGTGGTTCGGCATAAGGTATACCCAAAAACTGGTCAATACTTACGCCCAACACATCTATAGTCTGACCCCTCACTACACCCGATGTTGTCTTCACATCAATACATGCTATGAATTCAACACAAATAATTAATACAAACAATATTTTAAAACTATCTTTCATTTTGCTCCACAGTATAATTTATATGACTATTATTTAGTAATAATCTAATATTGTCTATTTTCTAATTCTATTGTTCAATTATTTATATACATTTTACTATACTTGCTCTATTTAATGAGACTTTATTTCAAGTACTTTATCTTAAATAATTATCTAATTATAGATTAAAATAAATGAAATATAAATATGAATTAAGTATAAAACACTATCATTATTACAATTGATAAAATATTAATCTTATCCTGCTTAAAATAATTTACCTTTATGTACAAATATTGTATTTAATATGTCATCCGTGTTAAGATTCACTCACACTCATACATACCAATAATCACTTAAGATTGCGACTAGGGTACAAAAAAAATTCACGCATTTTACCCTAAATTTACCCTCAGATACGATTAGGTGTAGCGCATCGGGACATCAAAGGGCTAAACATACTGGTGTTTGCCGTCGGGAACGGCAACATTCCGGTCAACCAATTCGCGGCCAAATGGACGGACTTCGGGCTGAGTATATCGCGGACACACTTCGCTATGTATGGGATAGACATCGGGGACGACGAGTGGGCGTTGGCTGTGAGGCAAGACATGACACAATTGGTGCTATTGTTTAATTATATGCTGAAGAGGTGTCGGCCCACCGGCACAGACCTGCGCCCTATGCAGGCCATGACCGACGAGTTGTCCAAAACTCGGTCCCCATTGGCACAAGTGGTGGCCAAATACAAGTTCAACGTTTGAAATTAGTGGTGTATTATTTGTATAGTTAAAATATGTTTGACTGTACTTGGTTAAAAATTATTAAACAGTAATAATTACTATTACTATTATAAATAAATTGAATTTAAACAATTTTAAGGTTAGAACAATAGTTTTATTGATACAGAATAATGCATTTTAATATTTATAAACTATAAGGATAGTAAATGTTTAAATTTTATGTGATAGTTTAACCGTGATTTATTTATATAAGTTTTGACGCAATTATTCACATGACATTTAAATGGCTTTAAATATAAATGTTTGGCATTCATGTGTTGTGTTAATAAAGTTTTAGTATAAAAATGTTTTTCGCAATCATTTAAAATGCATTTATATTTCCGTATATTTGTGTGAATTCTTCTCTTATGATTCCATAGACCCGAGGGATCACTAAATGTTTTGTTACAATCATTGAAATGACAAACAAATGGTTTTTCTCCCGAATGTATGCGTTTGTGTGATATTAGATGATCTTTTCGGTTGAATTTTTTGCCACAATTTTCTTGATTACATTTGAATTTCTTTTCATTCAAATGAACACAACTTTTGTGATGAAATAAATTGGATTTTGTTATAAAACTTTTGTTGCATTTATTGAAATCACAAATAAATCTCACATTTAAATGAACGCTCTTTTTGTGTTGAAGTAAATGTGATAACTTAGAGTAACATTTATTACAATTACTAAAATCACATTTAAATTGTTTTATTGATGAATGAATTAATTGATGTTCAGTTAAATGTTGTTTAATTGTTGTTTTGAATTGACATTTAGGCCAAAAACAGTGAAAATAATCATC